CTCCTCCAGCTGTGCGGGGAGCGTCTTCATCCTCCTCCAGCTGTGCGCCCTGAGACAGGTGTTTTACGCACAGCGTCTCCACACAGCTCTGCAGGACGCGCGCACAACTGCTGTGTCAGAACCCCTGCATACATTACAGTGCACAACATTTCAGACATAAATAAGCTTACAGTAAAAAAAAAAAAAAAAGAGTGAAGTGTTTGATGTGTATTTACATCAAGTATCGAAACAACAGCACTAATTAGTCAAAGCGACCAAAATGTTGAAAAGACAATTGATCTCAAATAAATGGATGGATGGCAGAGAGACTGGAGCAGAACTCACAGGAGTGAATTCAGCTGAGAAGAGTTCAGGTCGGCAGAGTGTGCGCGTGTGTGTGTGTGTGTGTGTGTGTGTGTGTTAGGACACCTGACAGACCGTCAAGGACGTGTATTCATTCACAGGCTTGTTAATTGTTGCTCTCTAAAATAATTTCAATTCAACCTTTATTTAAACAGGTTTAACCTTGAGCCTCGTCAAGAGAGACCCGTTTTTAACCAGTTTATTCAAATGTTTAACAACCTGTTTAAATACACCAAAATGCAGGAAATGGCATCTTTTATTCCAATTTTTCTGGGGGAGGACACGCGGACCCTATATTTAAATATAAATAACTATATTTCACCACTAGATGTCACTGAAACCTGAACCTTTGAATGAACCCAAGTTCAACACTGCTTTATTGCTTCATTTGTCCATCACTGGTGTTTTAACTTTCAGCCGCTGCTGCAAACTTCAGCTCGTTTGTTTTGATACTTCACTTGCTAGTTGATAATTTTAGCTTTGCTAATTTAGCATGTTACTACCATGTTGACAGTTTAGCTAGTATTGTGCTAATGTTGCCATGAAGTTCGGCTCATTTCAGCTCCAGTATGTGCCGAGCAGGACTTCAGCGGTTGAGCCTTCAGCTGACGTTTAGCACCCACTCTTTATTTCAGCAGGGGGCCGCGGCTCAGCTCACAACTCTGGAGCAGCCATCTTCAACAAGACGTGGAGGAACTCGGGACTTCAGCCGTTTCAGTTTGAAGAAGCTAAAGCTTCAGGTGATTCAGGGAGAAAAGTCTGTTCAGCCCAGAACCTTCAGGTTTTAAAATAATGACAGTAGTTGTAAAAGACAAAAACACTTGAGTCATTATCAAGGCATCTTTATTCTTTGATCCACTTTTAGATTTAACAAAAAAAAAAAAAAAAAAAAAACCGTTGGGGCTTCGTGGAGAAACGTGAATGCAAAAGAAACTTGAAGGCGAAGTCACAAATGCAGCAACATGACTTCAGATACAAAGAGGGGTCGGCTGAATCTCCATTTATAGGAATGTTGTTTATGGAGAGGCGGAGCCTAACAGGGTGCGCCTACACAAGAGCTGAGGGGGTCTAAATGGTCTGGGGGGTTGGGTCCCGCTGTAGCTCAGAGCTGCCCGCAGTTGGCGATGACGATCTTGCTTTTGGGTTTCCCTGACGAGGTGCCGCGGTCCTCCATCTTCCTCACCACGTCCAGCCCGTCCACCACGCTGCCGAACACCACGTGCTTCCCGTCGAGCCTGTAGGCGAAGAGCAGGGATCAGCACACCCAGTCTGGGTCAGGACCCCACCGTGGGGGGGTCTGTTACACGAACCAGTTCTCACCCTGAACACTTCATGGCTGACCTCGTGTCAACGTGCACACGACAGACTAAAGTGAACCAGGAAGACGAGGCAGATGTTCAACTCCAGGAGTTTAAACGTTTGTCAAGTCTCAGGGTAAGAACGAGCCCCGACAGCCGTGAAACCAACTGGACCTGGTTCTGCAGTTCAAGGTGAGGAGCTCCAGTTCAAACATACTGGCCAGCAGAACCCCTCACACGAGGTTCAGCTTGAAGAACCAGCGCCTCGACCGACAAACGCAGAAAAACCAGACAGAGCCGTAGATCCAGTTTGGTTACAGAACCAGAGAGAACCCATGAAACCAGTTCATGGCTTCTGGATCACGTTACTAAAGCAGTCACGACACTTCAAACATTCTGGACCGGGCCTTAAACCGTACCATGAGGTCTTCTGTGTACAGATGAAGAACTGGGAGCCGTTGGTGTTGGGGCCGGCGTTGGCCATGGACAGGATGCCGGGGCCGGTGTGAGTCAGGCTGAAGTTCTCATCTGCAAACTTGTTGCCGTAGATGGACTTCCCTCCGGTTCCGTTGTGGTTGGTGAAGTCGCCTCCCTGCAGGGCAACAAACAGTGTGACCCAAACTTTCACAGTCGGCGCCCGTCTGACCCGGGCCGAGCCCGTCTGACCCGGGCCGAACCCGTCTGCTCACCTGGCACATGAATTCGGGGATGATGCGGTGGAAGGAGCTGTTCTTGTAGCCGAAGCCCTTCTCTCCGGTGCACAGGGCCCGGAAGTTCTCAGCGGTCTTCGGCACCACGTCGTCACGGAGCTGCGGGATCAGAACAGAACCGTGAGCAGGTCGTAGAACCGGCGCCACGCAGGCCGAGAGCCAACAACCCGGAGCGCTGCACTTTGATCTGTGGAGCCACCGGTTGGACTCCAGATCGAACCAGAACCAAACGGACCATGTTTCAGAGTCGTCACACCCACTTTAACACCTCAAGAGAAAACACTTTAAATATTTAAATGTGAGATTATTTCAGCAACGTTTAGGACAGAAGCTGCAGCTTTACACCACTGTCGTCATTGTAACTTTATAAACAGTGACGTTTCTTCAAGTTAATGTTTGACGTCATCAAAGGCTTCGTTTGCAGACACAGGTGTTCTCACCTGCACCAGGAACTCGTTTAACTCGGTGCAGACTAAATGTTGTCCGGGGGGTTAACGGGAATATTTTCCGGGGGCACCGCGGCAGAACCGGGCCGGTGGACCCGGAAAACCCTAGGTAGAAACCGGTTCAGTCGAACTCCCCGCAGGGCCGTCAGAACCAGAACCTGCAGGTCGAACCGGGAACGCCCAGAGAGAAGGGGGGACACAAAATGGCGGGACTCGGCATGCTAACCGCAGTTAGCTTCAGCTAACGTTTAAATGAAGCCGTTAAAACACGAGCACGCGACGTCCGGGTGCCACCCCACAAGCAGCGCCCCTCCCCCTCCCACCAGGTCCGTGGAACTTTCCAGAACTGGTCCCGAGCCCACTTTAGACTGCGGGACTACAGACCCAACCGTCCCGGCGGCTTTACCTCGAGCCGTCGCCGGTTCGCTCGGACCGACCGGAAACCGGTGCCCCACGCGCTTCACCGCAAGACGAGGGAAAAAAGAAGTTTCGTGAAGGCCGCGTGGCGCTGCAACAAAGAGGTGCCCGCCCAAGCAGCCTTCGCGTGACTGCGGTATGCGCGTGTGCTCGCGGGTTGAACGCAAGGTGCACTCCCCTCTGCAGATGTTTGAGCTGCGGGTCAGAGCGGAAACGTGCGCAGAACAATTACAGTTAAAATTAGCCGAACGGTTAGCTACATCAGCCCCTGCTGACTTCCGGGTGCAGTTACCTCCATGACGATCCGGCCCTGCGGGGCACCATCGATGGTGATGTCGAAGAAGACTCTGGGTTTGGACATTTTAACGGGTTGACGTGGGGCGGCGGAACTGGACTTCTCGGGCAAGGGGACACGGCGAGCCACAGGAAACCGAAAAAGATGGAGGACCGACGAATAAATTTATATAAGAGGCTAGTGGGCGGTTTATTACCAGAGTCAGCCAATCCGTGAAGCAGAAGCATTTGACTGACACTCCCGACAGCCTATCAGCAAACAGGACTGTAAACAGCGCGTTCTGATTGGCTACACGCACTTTATGGTGCGTTGCATTCAGTTCTCAGAATAAACCGGCTGAGAAATCGTTGAGCGTTTTAGGCGATGACCCTTAAGCACCGCCCTTCTCAGGTGTCACGGTGATAAGGCGACACTCTCCAGTGCTCCAGAACCAGAACAACACGCGCCAAAGATCAGACTCGTGAACGTCAAATGGGAGGTAAAACAAGCACGCGGTCAGGGCGCGGTCGATTGGGACATTTTTTAAACTCTTGCTTTTTATGTCGAGGTGGCAAAGGTGAGGCACGAGGCTCCAGCGGGGGGCGGAGCCTAATAATCCCAGGAGGAGTTTATTTTTTGCTGCCATGTTTTGTCTGTGCATAAACTTGAAGATTAATTTGTCTCACGAAGAGGCCCGCAGTGCAGGGCCGTTACCAGTGGGGGCCAAGAGGGGCACTAGCCCCCTAATAAATATCCCCATCCTAGTCTCAAGCTTTTGCTTGGTGTGCGTTCTTAATTTTCTCTACCTATTTAGGATTAACAAAACCTCATAAACATAAAAGCCAACCTTGTTTTGAACATTTAGGAGGTAAAAATATAAACATAATTCGTAAAAACACTTAAAATATTGGTGTGGTGGCACACACGTTGGATAAGGCAGAGGTTCGACTCCCCGGATCAACATCATCAAACGTGCGTGGGAAATGTGAAACGCCCGTCTGTCAAAAGGCTTCAATGTTTTTTTATTTTTAGAAAATAAATATGGCATGAAACTAAATGGCACTATTAAATCATTTGACTGGATATTAACCACCGAGTCCTGATGGTTGACAGAAACTATCGAGCTTGAGCGAAACATTCAAACACCACGGCGACGTTTGAATAAATGTTGAAATGTTTCCACAAGAACACAAAGTAACTGGATCCTCTGCAGGAACTAGTGGTTTAGTCAAAGCTGACCTTTGAACAGGAGACAATTTATAAATTAAACTTTAAAAAGTCCTTTGAAGTTCTCACGGAACGAGTGAAATCAGCTGGAAGAGCAGCACGACCAGCTGTTTGCAGACGTTGACCTTTGACCTGCTGCAGCCTCCTCAAACTGAAAACCAGGAAGCAGAGACGACCTCCCTCATCTCCTCCTTCGTCTTCTTGGGTTTATCGTCTGCTGGAATAAAACGAGATTAAAAAATCTCAGCAGACGTTTTGTCCTGTAGACACGAGTCTTTAGTTTCTCCAGAAGTCTCGTATGTCACTAAAACTTTTAAATATTTTTACATTAAAACTTTAGTTGGTGGAGCTGTTTGCTCAACGAGAAGGTTGCCAAACTGAATCCTGTTCCAGGGACCTTGGTGGGTTTCCTCCACACACCACAAACCTCCATGTTAGGCTAACTGGTTACTCTGAGTGTTATCTGCAGGTGTCCCTGGGATGGACTGGAGACCTGTCCAGGTGTCTGTCCCTGGGATGGACTGGAGACCTGTCCAGGTGTCTGTCCCTGGGATGGACTGGAGACCTGTCCAGCTGTCCCTGGGATGGACTGGAGACCTGTCCAGCTGTCCCTGGGATGGACTGGAGACCTGTCCAGGTGTCCCTGGGATGGACTGGAGACCTGTCCAGGGTGGACTGGATGATGATGCAGGTAACTGCAGTTACAGAAACCTTCCTGAAGGTGGCAGCAGAGAACATGTTTGCCAGTGATTTTTAAAAATTATTTAACTTCAATTTATTTCTAAAACAGACTTAAAGTTTAGAACAGTTACAAACTCCTGTGGAATTAAATGTTCGTATTTATTACCCCCCACCTCCAAAGGCAGAGCAACCTGGACGGACTTTAATGAAAACACCATGAAGAAATCTGATCGATCCCATTCAAGATGGCCGACACAGAGGTCAGCGTGTGACCCCTGTGTCTCGTCACACATCAAACTCAGACTCCACGTCTTTCCACTGAACGTTTATTAAATTACAAAGATTATTAATAATTAATCTCATTATTCGTGTTTTTAGCTTCGTTACTGAATCAGACTCGGACCCACGGGGACCCACAGGGACCCACGGGGACCCACAGGGACACGTCACAACAGTCTGGACTCCATCGTCACCAAACAACAAACAGAACCGAGACGGACGATGAAGATGAAGCTCCTCGCTGCGTGTTCCACGACACGTCTTCAACAGAACCACACATTCAAACACAGAACCGGGTTTTAACGTTGGGCTTCTGATTAGCTGAGCGACTCTTCTCCAACAGCTGCATCAGTCCAGATGTTGTTCCTGTTTGGTCCGGTTCAGTCCGGTGTGATCAGAACTCAATGTTTGCCGGTCCTCAGTGAAGAACTCGCATAAAACAAGAACCGTGTTAAAAACCCAAACGGTGAGCAGTTTTCAGGAAAACAATAAAACCTGATCCGTTTGGAGAAGTACACCAGGCAGACGTTAAAACTGGTCCAAACGAGTGGTTCTGAGCGGCCCTGAACTGGAGCCAGAGCCTGGATCATCAGGACAGATGTGGACAGATGTAGTGGACAAGCTCTTCAGGCAGAAACCAGAACCAGCTTTTTAAATTTTTTTTATTACCGTAATAACTAAAATAGTCCTACTGCTTCCAGGGGGTTCTGGTCCGTAAGACTGCGGGTCGGTCGGGTTGCTTCTGGAGCAGGAAACTCTGAGCAGAGGTCGATGGACGTGGTTCTGCTGCAAGGCCCGTCGCTCCGACGAGCAAAAAATGAAAGTTCAGAACCAGAAAATAAAAAATTTAAAAACATTTGGAGGTTCTGAGTCACACAAACGGGTTTCATATTTAACAGTTCTGAGCTCGGTCCGGTGCGGAGGGCGGCTGCAGAGAGGGACAGTTTGTGCTGTCTGGGCCCGGTCCGGTCCAGCTCAGGAGCTGAGCGAGCATCAGTTGTTCTCGAACAGAGACAGCAGGTCGTCGTTGTTGTTCGGGAGGTCCGGCGGGCCCAGGTAGGACAGCAGCTCGTCCGGGTTGGTCAGTTCTGGAAGCAGCTGCAGACACAAACGGGTCAAAGTGAGCAACAAGTCTGATCCAGAACCCTGGAAAAAACTGGATCCGGATCGGGTTCTGCTTACATCCAGAGAAGGTTCTGGAATTTCCCCGGACACGCCGAGCCCGAAGGGGGGGTCGCCTTGGAGACGGGGATTCTGGTTGTTGCGTTGCATCATCTGGTTGCCGCCCAGCTGACTGTTGCCATGGAGACCCTGCGACTGCTGCTGGGAGACAGATGCACCATGGGAAGTAGAGTCCAGACGGCCCGGCATCTGAGAGGAGGGACAGAGTGGGACAGATGGACAGAAGAGAGTTGGAAATAAAAAGCTGGATCAATGAGCTGAGGAAGACTCTGGTGTTAAACGATGATGATGAAGAGTTTCTGTACCTGCGACATCAGCGGGTGAGGTGGGGGCTTGTCGGGACTGAGGAGGGCGCTGGAGAGCTCTGACTGGTAGGGGAGGGGGGGAGGTCCGGGGGAGGAGAAGTTACCGACGCTGGGAGAACCAGGACCGGCGAAGTCTGAGAACGGCACTGACGGAGCGGGAAAAGACGGAGCTGAAGGACGAGACGCACAAATCACGTTTCACCTCGGTTCTGCCGGGTCGTTACAGAAAACACAGGTCATGTGACCCACCTGCTGAGGGGAAGTCGGGCGTGTTGCTGCTGTTGGTACCGCCCCCTGCAGGGAGGGAGGAGTACGGCATCGGCGAGGAAGAGGAGGGCGGCGCAGATGGGTTAGAGGGGGCGGGGCCAAGTGAGATGATCATCTCCATGACGCTGGGCAGGACCATGTGGCTCGGGCTGAGCGTCCTGCAGCGCTTCAGGACTGGACCGTCCGGGTCCTCCTTCACGTGGATGTCGGGCTTCACCGGAACGGGCTTCCAGCAGCAGACCGGGTCGATGGTGATCTCCTCATAGTCGGAACTGAGCGAGGAGGAGGAGAGACGAAGAGTGGTTCATTAAGATCGAAGATTTAACTCTTTTTTTATTTTTTTAATCGTAAGATTTTGCTTATTTTGTTTGTTGAGTTTCTTTTAAACAGATTTTCACCTGCTTCAAACTCAGAAGATTTGTCCCTTCAGGGCTCCTGTAGTCACACAACGTTAAAACAATGCAGAAATAAAATAACCAGATGAAAGCTGAATAAAGGACGAGCGCCCCCTGGTGGCTGACTGCAGTACGTTTTAGCCCCACCCCCTCCATGTAAACCAATAAGATTCTTTTATGACTAAAAGCAAAAAAATCCCCCCAGATTAAATTTTTCAGCTTTTTGTTCCACACAGCTCTGACCTTTCTGCTGTTTGTTCAAATGTGTATTTTATTTAAACATGTTCAGATTTAATTTGTTGGGAGGTGTATAAAAAGATGATTGACAGCCCGTGAGCGAGTTGGGACGGTGTGCAGGTGGGACGTTGTATCGAGCCGCACGTCTCAACAAAAACTTAACGTTAATTTAATCAGTGCATAATAAAATATTAACCATGTAGAAAATAAGAACTTACATTATCCACCTGCAGTCCCTAAACAGGAAGTTAATGAAAACGAGTTTTTATGTTGCATTATAAAATATAAATCCACTAAAAATGAACATATGTCATAAAAACAATTTTTAGTGACTGAATTATATTCAACAAAATAATAAATTAAAAGCAGCACTGAAGACTGTGTTGGACTTCAAAATAAAAGCCTGACTCCCATCTTCTCTGCAGACTTCCTCAGAATCGGGCTGAACTTTCACTCAGAATCAAAACGTTAATTTAACGCCTCAGATGTCGCAAAGAATCTGCCAGAGATTCAAAGAACTAAACTCAAATTTATTTTTTTGTTCTGTGCGACGCTCAGACTAGGGGTTGAACGACTACATAATTTTAAAACTTGACATTAACATAATAAAACTCGAGTAGAACTCAAGTACTTGATGACATCATAGGATCTAAAGATACAAAAATAAATAAAACCGCAAAAAGGTCATTATTTACAAAAAAAGACCAACGAAACATCGGGAGCGTATATTTTGCTCCTCTCATTTATCACACAGCAAATAAGTCACAGGAAAAACAAAACTATTAGTTTTTATTATTAAGCTACAAAAGTGAAAGAAACGTACGGCACGTCAAAAACGAAACTAAAAAGTGGGAGGGTCGACCACCCCGCACCACCGCCAGCTGTGCTGCACATTAGGTGTAGTTTTAGAGATTAATATGTTTATAGGTTTTTATAGGTTTAGAGATTAATATTTTTTGCTTTTAGTTTGTGCAACAAGGTCAGAGAAGCTGGTTCTGGTTCGGTGATTGGACCCGGTGTTGCACCATATTCTGTGACCTGCAACAGTGCAACACCGCCCCCTACGGTCACAATATACGGTGGTCACAGAATATGGTGTAACACCGGTTCATAAGGAGCTCCAAACAGTCAGGAAGTTGTTTCATTTTCTGTTTCCTTATGGTAGCTGAACCAGAAGATTCATCTTTAGTGAAATATTTCCAGACTATTGATGCAGTTCTACCTGTTTGTCAAGACTGGACCTGCTCCGCTCCATCTGTCTGCTGGGAGGAATCCATTTTGTAACCCGTACCCACTGCGGATCACGTGACGCAATGACGTAACAGCGACGTAATGACGTCACCACGAATACTCGACGTGAAATAAAAACCTCGATAGGCGTCCTAGGAGTCGATGTGTAGATTACTCGAGTAGTCTGTTAAAGCCCTAGCTCAGACACGAGGACTAAACCGCAGCAGGAAGTCCAACTGTCAGAACCGCAGTGGTTTCTTACTTTTGGACGTAGATGAGGATTCCCAGCATGTACTGGTCCACTTCCAGTCCCTCCAGCAGAGCCGTCTTACTGCAAACACAAACACGGTTCTTTAAACGTTCTCTTCAAACCCGGCAGCTTCGGGTTGGGTTCCTTACTTGCACACGGGACATCTCCAGGTTCCCCTCTCGCAGTTCAGCTGCAGGTACGACTCCAGGTCGAAACACTGACGGCAGGAAATCAAAAGTTAAAGCTGAAGCGTCTCCGAGTCCAACACATGTTTTTGTACTACTAGTGCACTTTTTATTAATGTTTTTCTTGGATCTTATTACTCTTTTACATTTTATACTTTTGTTGGATGTAACTGGGACCCTGCGTACATAATTTTGTTCCACCACGTGTTGGAACGACAAACAAAGAACCTTGAATGGTCCATCTGTATTTCCTGCAGAACTTAAAGGACGTCCTGCTGCTTCCTGGCGCAGCGCTGTGATTGGCTGCCGTCCTCACCTGTATGTGTCTGCAGTCGTGGCCTCTGGCCGGCAGCTGGATGCGCCGGAACGTGATCGGGCATTTTAACGACACTCTGATGGCCGTCTGCTCCACACCGTCCTCTCCATTTAACCCGGGGGTCCCGGCGATCGAACCGCTGCTGAAGTTCCTTTTTACTGAGAAAAAGTTCAGTTTATGAGATAAAATGTTCCAGAACCGAGCCCGAGGTCCAGAATCCAGAACCTGCAGGGCAGAGAGCCAACAGGATGGAGAACGTACTCTTGGTGACGCAGTGCTCGGCCGGCAGCAGCCGCTTCTTCATCAGACCCTGCAGGACGGAGCGCACAGACGGGCGGTGGACCAGCTGCAGCACGAACAGGTGAGACTGCAGACAGACAGGTGCAGCAGGTGAGAGACAGACAGGTGGGAGCAGGTGAGAGACAGACAGGTGGGTCAGAAGAAACCAGACTGAGGAGGAGGAGCTTGCTCTTGCTCATTCAGGATGAAGATGAGATGAAACAGAACTGGTTTGTGAACGGTTCCAGGGTTGACAGGAAACAGAACTTCTTGAATCTTTTAACTCGTTTATTTTTTTGTTAGTTTCTTTCGGCTTTCTGAGCTCCTGTTTGTAGATTTTTTTTATTTTCATGCTTCATGTAGAAATTCGGCCTTTTTACTTTTGTTTTGCACTAATCACAGGTTCTGGTTTTGAACCAGGTTTGAACCTGGTTCTTTTGGTTCTGGTAGCTACTTTAACCTGCATCCAACCTGGATATCTTCAGGGGTCCAGTTCTGAAGCAGAGCTCTGACCAAACGATTGATAAGGATCAACGATCAGTTTCCAAAGCTCGGTGTGTTAGGGTGTGTTTTTCAGAAAGGTCTGGGTGTCTTCTTACGCAGCAGCAGGCGGTGACGGTGATCTGGATCGTGTTCCGGCCCGGCTGACACACCTGCTTCAGGTACAAAGGCTTGTGGGAAGTTTTGTTGTCGCCTCGTTTGATGGTGAGAGGAGTCGCATTCACGCTCACCTGAGGAGGAAGCAGAAACACAAACCTTATCAGAAAGCGTGAATGCAGCATGACTGATGAGACCAGAGGATAGAGACCGGACCTGGACCGAAGCGGGCCAGTTGGTGTTCATCTGTCGATCTTCGTGGTGGTAACACTTGAACTGGAGCTCCAAATCAGGTCTGGACACACCGTGACTCGTGTCAGGGCCATCAGAGAGAACATAATGACATCATAGCTACTACTGTAGATGACAGAACCCCGGTACCGCCCACAAAACTCAGGTACCGCCCACACAACCCCAGTACTGCCCACAAAACCCAAGTACTGCCCACAGAATCTTGGTACCACCTACAGAACCCTGATACCGCCTACGGAACCTTGGTACCACCCACAAAACCCTGGTACCGCCCATGGAACCCCGGTACTGCCCACAAAACCCCAGGACCACCAAAAAACTCAGGTACCGCCCACACAACTCCAGTACTGCCCACAAAATCCAAGTACCGCCAACAGAATCTTGGTACCACCTACAGAACCTTGGTACCGCCTACGGAACCCTGGTACCACCCACAAAACCGTGGTACCGCCCATGGAACCCCGGTACCACCCACAAAACCCCAGGACCACCACAAAACCCAAGGACCACCACAAAACCCCGGTACCGCCCACAAAACCCCAGTAATGGCCACAAAACCCCGGAACCGCCCACAGAACCCCGGTACCGCCCACAGAACCCCGATACCGGTACCGCCCACAGAACCCCGACACCGGTACCGCCCACAGAACCCCGGTACCACCCACAAAACCTCGGTACAGCCCACAAAACCCTAATACAGCCCACAAAACCCCGGTACCGCCCACAGAACCCTGGTATCAACCACAAAACCCTAGTACTGCCCACAGAACTCCAGTACCACCCACAAAACCCTGGTACCATCCACAAAACCCAGGTACCATCCACAAAACCCTGGTACCGCCCACAGAACCCTGGTACCGCCCACAGAACCCTGGTACCGCCCACAGAACCCTGGTACCGCCCACAGGTGAGCCCGTTACCTCATGACAAGTGTTTTGTAGACGGAGTCGCGCAGCTGGAAGACGTGGTTGCTCACAGCCAGGTTGTGCTCCAACCTGAAGGGCTCGAGGACCACGCCGTCTCTGACAGGAAACGTCAGCCGCAGGTTGTCGCTCGGGTTACCTGTGGACAGGAAGTCAACACCTGCACACTTCAGTCACACCATCATTGGCACGGGAAATTTGCATTTATGAAAAATAAAATAACAGACCTGCAGAAGGGGGTGGAGCCAGGCCAGCCATGTTGGGCTTGATGTCTGGCAGGAAGGAGGAGGTCATCGGCTTGACGTCACTGCCAGGTGACATGTAGGGCGGGGCCATAGAGCTGCTGGGGGTGATGGGAGGGGTCGGGTTTCCAGGAACTGGAGAAGACGGGTAACTAGGTAATCCTCGACCCGGCTAACGGACGCAGAGAGAAATGATTTAGACCTACAACGGACACGGACGTTCTTCCTGCGCTGCAACAAATTCAGTTTAACGACTTTGATCACAAAACAAACTAAAGACAGAGATGGCAAAAACATGAACATTAAATACATTTGAGACGCGACAAGAGTTACAATTTTCTCAGGCTAAACTTGAACCCGGAGCTAATCTTACCCCCGTCTGTTGGCTGAAAGTGTTGTAGACGCCGCCGGCGCCCCCCGCTGTCAGGGAGGTCAAAGTCCCACTCTGACTGTTGAACTGGTCCTGCTGCAGGAAACCATTTCTGCCATTAGTTTTATCAGAATGTTCTCGTTTTATTTATTACTCATTACCACTTTTTACCTTGTAGTACTGTGGGTTGGGGGCTCCAGAGGGGGGATACTGTGGGAGGGGCATTTTATGACTCTGATAAGGGGAGGAGCCAGAGCACTGAGGGGCGGGGCCTGGACCACCAGGACCTGCAGGTGAAAATAAAAAGTGAAGTGAGTAAAAATAATAATTTCCTGTGTTTTTAATCTTTATGTCTAATTTAGAGCCACTTTCATACATTCATAAGTATATTTAAAAATAACTTAAGCAACACACATTTTAAGATTCTTTTAAAACACCAAACTATATACGTAGAACAAAACAAAGTGCAAGTGAAAATATCACATCACAAATTTTTACTCAACACTCAATTTCTTAACAGCTAACCTACATTTTATTCATGTTTTATTTTAAATATGTTTAAAAATCCAGTGTAGCAGAAATCCCCCCCCCCCCCCCCCCCCAAGCATCGGTACCAACACCTTCACCGTACCTGGGTGGTACTGCATGTTGGGGCCGGAGTACGGGCCGGGTCCTGTGTGACCGACTCCCCCTGAGCCCGGCATGGAGCCTCCAGCACCAGCAGGACCCGGCAGGACGTTCACGCTGGACCCCATGGGAACACCGTACTGCTGAGACATTCCTGGGAACGACTGAGGACCAAACAGAACAAACAGTTTTACACAGAAAATAAAAAACAGATAAAAACATTTCATTGTTCTGAACACCTCAGAGTTGTAGGGCCGTTTAAGGCCTTGTGGGGGCCTCAGGTGTCCCTGCTGTGGTCCAGGACCATAGTTCGGGTGCTGAGGGACCCTCTGTTGGACCCCTCCAGTGCTGTACATTGAGCCCATGGAGGGAGGCCCTCTTGTAGGGCCTGGACCAGGTCCCATACCACCAGGTGCCATGCTGGGAGGACCACGAGGACCGGGATGGGCCATGAACTGGTTGTTGTAGGCCGGACCCCCCATCTGAGACACAACAGAGAATAACATGAACACGGACATGATGGGGGTCATGGGACCACAGAGAGGGAAGCTGGGAGGTCAGACAGAATGCTGAGTCAGCATTCACACTTCCTGTTTTCTCTTTTTATTTACCGTCTTCCACTCGGAGTTCAAACATCAAAACAAACAAAACTCAAAGGACGGTCCCCGAGACGTCCTGCAGGGTCGCTCCCAGCCGTCTCACCTGCCCATAGTTCATCTCCTGGTTTTGTTTCTCCTGGATGGCGGCGACGGTCGCCGTGGCGGTGGCGGTTGCCGTGGCGGCGGCAGCAGCGGCGACGGCGGCGGCGGCTGCCTGAGTGAAGTCGGCGGAGCCTCTGGAGCCTCCGGGGTTTGACGGGTAACTGAGGACAGGTGAAAAGAAATTACAAATTAAATATTTACACAAACAAACATCTTACTTCTGGATTTTGATCTTTAAAGAAAATGTAAACAAGGACAGTGGGTCTGGATTTATTGTTTAGTCGGGGGTTATACCACAAGATAAACTTTATATTTGTGACAGTGTTATTTATAAATAAACTAAGATAAAAATATCATCTTTATTTGAACACTTTTACATTTTCATCCAGAGACAAACTGACGTTAACGTTCCTGTAAAATTTAGGATCTTTAGATTAATTTTTTTATAAATAAACATAACTGTTTGCTTTAATAGGATCAATAATAAACAAACACCCACCTGCCCGCGTACCCCCCCGGTCCTCCAGCATAGCCCCCACTCGTCCGCCCGTACACGCCCTGGTTCATGTAGCCTTTGCTGGGCTCGCTGTACCCCGGCTGGCCCATGTAGCCCCCGGGTCCACCGGCCATCCCAGGACCCCCGGGGCCCTGCATCATGGGGCCCCCACCTGGGTTGTTCCCGGGCCCCATCACCCCCCCACCCAGACCCTGAAACAGACATACAACTTAATAAACAAACAAAGGAGAGACACGGAGTTGACGTGAACAAGAAACTCTTGACACGTGGTACCCGTGTGATGATGTCATACCTGACTGGCTGAAGGATTGGTGACCCCCCACACTGTAGTGACCACAGACAGGGACCCCGTGGGCTGATTGGTGGGCTGCTGCCAGCTGGAGGGGTCATAGGGGTACGAACCGTCACTGCAACACACACAAAAACCAAGTTGGCGGTTTTAGTCACAGACTCTCTGAAATGATGGTCAAAGTCCAAAGTCCAGATAAAGAACCTCTGGTTGTACCTGTGAGGGTTGTTGGTCAGTCCAGTCTTCATCTGGTTCAGAGGGTTCATGGTAGACAGAACCGAGGGTCCAATCACACACACAGAATCCTGACGAACAGAAACACAGATCAAGCATTTTATAAAACTACACTTCCCATCATGCCCCTGCCCTCTACAGTTCCAAGCAGCGGGTGCAGAGAATGAAACAAATTAAATTATTTACGGTGAACTTGACAAGATGGCTGCGCTCAGCCGAGCCGCAGCTTCACAGGCTCCCGGTGAACGCCATCTTTTTTTTGTTCCTGTTGATTTTGCTTTAACTTTTTTTTTGCGCCTACAATGCACACCCACAGCACGAGTAAGACCGTGACACACGTGGAGTTTTGTGTCGCTGCCTTGCCATCCTGCCATCGTGGTTCAGTCCTTCCAGCCTCGGGCTCAGGACTGTCATGGCAGCTGTCTCCATGATCCTCCACCTGCCTGCACGGAACGAACTCTACGGTTCCGTGGGGAAACCTGGATGTTCTCCGTCTGCCAGACACGGTTCTGGAGGGCAGTCTGGGAGGTAGCTGCTGCGGTCCTTGTTATTATCATGCTGCTAATGGGAGCTGCTAACAAGACCTGCTAATGCTGCTAACAAGACCTGCTAACAAGACCTGCTAATGCTGCTAACAAGACCTGCTAATGCTGCTAACAAGACCTGCTAATGCTGCTAACAAGACCTGCTAATGCTGCTAACAAGACCTGCTAACAAGACCTGCTAATGCTGCTAACAAGACCTGCTAACGCTGCTAACAAGACCTGCTAACAAGACCTGCTAACGCTGCTAACAAGACCTGCTAACGCTGCTAACAAGAGCACAACGTTAGTGCTCTTTATTCAGAAAATCCACGTCACATCTACATTTCAGGATCTGGTTATTGTGGTGGCTCTCTACGTGGTTTTAAACATCTGTTAAGTTACTGGGAAAAACCAACGCAGACATGTGCCTGTTTTTAGTTTTCTACACCGCCTTATAATCTAGTTGTTTTTTTTTTGCTACATTTTCTTTTAAATACCATTTTAATTGTACAATTTTATTTTCACACACACAAAAATATCTCAATTTGTATGTCTCTTTTATGATTGTCTATTGTTTTCTTTGTTATTCACTGATGTCAAAATTCTTTTTAAAGAAATCAGGTCTCTGGTAAACGAGTCCCCGATGCTCAGTGGGATTAACCTGTAGGAATAAATGTTGAATGAATGATTATAGACACAGATTAAATGTTAAATATGAATATTTCTATATTTATCACCACAGTAACAGTATTACACACATTAGTAGTTGTAAACACTCAAAAGAATGCATACGTTGGTTTTATGCTTACCTATAACCTAAACGTTTACGGAGTAAACATTTTTAATGATCATGTTAAAAGTAACAAATGTTGTGTTTGGTGCCTGTTTGTTTTCCAGATGGATTAGTGTGTGTGCATGACAGGGATTAACATAAAACCCTTTGTAGAGCGGAGCTTTATGAAGTTCAGTCCATTTCCTTGTATTAGTTGAACGGAAGATCTGCCACATTCAAAATGGCGGACGATCCGACGTGTCGCAGCAACGGGCCAGCCCGCTCAACGAAGAGTCTATGTATATATATGTCTATGATCCAAACTATTATTGTCTTGTTTTTTTACCCCCGTATGTCATTTTTAATCAAACCACCTCGTTGTTCTTTGTGCTAATGTGAACGTTCATATAAAAAACATTCAATTTGATCGGGAGAAATGAGTTTGGGATTTTATACCTTTTTTTATTTTTATGCATTTGACTTTTTGGTTTTGATTTTGTCTTCTTATGCTATTTTTTTAATCTAACATCAAGCAACTTTTAGCTAGCCTGCTAATTCTGTCTACTGTTTGGACCATTTTAACTTTACCACGTGTTTTGCAAGTATTAGATGCAGTTTTGTTTGTTGAACCACTTTTCTTTGTCTGTGTTGTGTTTGTTTCTTTGTTCCGTTTTTATTTTAGCTGGATGTTTAGTCATTTGAGCTTCAGCATCATTTCTGTAATTGTAGCTACAGTTTTGTCTCTAACTCAGTTTCAGCTTCCTCAGCTGATCTCAGGAGTCGTTTTGTGATCACGCTAACTTAACATAGAAAATGCAATTCTTCTGGTTACTCAAGATTTTTTACATTTTTTCTGTTTTCTGAGAGTTGAGTCACAGTCTGGTTTCTTCATGATGAAAACATGAATCTGTGAGTGAAACTTCAATAACTGGATTAATGAGTGTCTGTTACAGTTAACAAGGTGTGTGTGTGTGTGTGTGTGTGTGTGTGTGTGTGTGTGTGTGTGTG